GATTTTTTCCATCTTTAAGTTTTACTGGAAATGACATCGAAAGTTTAGTATAGAACTATTCTTACACTTTAACCTATTAAATGGAACACCTTGTATTCTAGTCCATAATCGATTAGGAATTATTATAACCAAATGAACGATACCGGGTTTGATGGGGTTATTTCAAACGATTACGAAAATATTCGCTTATGAAATTTCCATATGCTCAATGAGTGTGACAGAGAAAGAAGTTTCAAATTTCGTCTCTGTTGACAGGTTATGAAATGTCACTTTTCATAAATTACTTTTTTCCCACGGGAGTATTTTTTACCCGGATATACAGGGTGATTCTGGGAAATCTCTGAACTACAGATAGTAAACACAAAAATAATGAGATTCAGCCCAATATGCCTGATGAGAATGTTGCTGGTTTAGGAGATACAGGGTGTTTCAGGGAGAGATTTTATTTCAAAATTGCACAATAACTTTGTTAGTTTCAACAGCATGAACATGAAATCTTGTATTTCTAGGTTTTCTGACATGAGGAATATGAATTTGCAACTAATTTTGTGATTGCTCATAGAGGACGCTAGTGGCACTCTGTTACTTCGATAATTTACATCATATCTTCTATGTCAATTCATTGATGATCAAAATAAGTGGAAAATCTGAAAGCTCGTTCAATTTCACATGAAAAATGTACTCTTTATCAAACTGTCTAGCTTCAACGGTTTTTGTATTATTCGCTCTTGAAGAGATTCATTTTCCACTTATGGCATTTTAATAATTTTATTTATCGAATAATTAAGAATGGAAAATCTCTGAACTACAGATAGTAAACACCCAAATATGAAGATTTAGCCCAACATGCCTTATAAAAATATTGCTGGTTTGGTGTAAAATTGTACCAAACGTACAGACAAAACTATTGAAAGAGGCAAAAATTCAATATTTCCAAAAGAAAAAAACGAGAACGGTAAGATTTTTATAAGGGGAATTTTTTCATAGCAGGTGGTTGATCTACATTCTCCCTAGGTTTGACGTGGTCTTTACGGGACACCCTGTATATCGATAAATCGATATTCGAACTTGACGATATGTTTTCACTTATCGATAATATATATTCGAAATCTAATATCGCGTAGCCCTAATCTTGACCATTGATGAGTAGTTTCGACAAAAAAAATCCTAAAGTTCAAAAATCTCCATTTCGAAAACCGTTTATATCTTTGTAATCATTCTCGCTAGACCTCAAGGGTGATGCATTGATGGAATCAGCTCTTCAGGGAGAATTTGAAAATGCAATTAAATAAAGAGTGTTCTATTTGAAATAACAAAGTTGCTACTACTTTCTAATAGAAGTGGCAACACCGCATTGTCGGAAATATTTTAGACGGATTGTGCTTGCTTGATTATCTAAGACCCCAAATTTTCGATATGATCTGTCATCCGATTCTCTAGATACTTCTAATGTGCCATCTACCGTGAAACTACTACATCGCGGTATTTTTTTAATGACTACCCTATTTTACGAGAGCACTGAATATAGAGGTTCCTGGGGTATTTTCGGAAAACTTCCGGAATTTCATGTCATCCCTTGTAAAATTATTTTTCCATATCAATTTCTGTCATAGATAAAATTTTATTGTTCGGGAATTAATCGGTTAGAAGGATGCCGTAACTAATTAGTCATCAGAAATATGAATCAAGCCAGCCATACATCAGTAGCATATTAGATTTCATCGTGTACTGTCGATTCAATTGGTGGAGAAACCTCTGATTTGACATTTCGTTTCGACATTGTAGTGACCATCATACTGATACTCAAAATGTAAGCAAAGTCAATCTCTTCAATTTATTTTCAATATAACGATTTTCAGTTTACATTTCGGACACATGAACACTAAATTTCAATGATATACATATTGATACTAGTGTAGATATGAAAAAACTATTATTTTGCTGAATTACAGTATTTTTGTGGCCATTATTAATGTATACAGTGTGATTCAATTTGATCTATCCTACTTATGTATTTCGAAAATGCATTAATATGAGATTATTCGAATACAATCGTATAACCTGTTGGTGAGAGATAATATTCCTAGAGTCACTGGATTGTATTAGTTAGATAAGAGTTCGGACACAGAAATGACGACTGTTAGTATTTTTTAATGTTTAGATTTACCAAGTTGCATACCTTGCATTGTGACAACAGCATCATAGTCGTTCCGCGCTTTTTCAATCAAAATTGTTTGAATTTTATGAAGGTCAGAATTGAAATTTAATTCCATAAACAATTCAGAAAAAGTCATAAATGAAATTGTCCTGCTTAGTAACGAATTGCGGGAATTTTGAAGGAAACAGCGATTTTATTTCTTCAATTTTCCAAAGAAAATATCAACCATTTCCTTATACAGTGTCTTTCAAAAGTATCGGAACGGTCTCATATTCCAGGAACGGCTTGAGAAAAATTCACGAAATTTTCTACAGGGTGATTATTGATGATGTCCGATTCAATGGTGGGATCGGCAATGTTGCCAATTTTACAGTTTTTCAGATATTAGGAGTAACTTTATTTTTTCAAATGGAATACCCCATTTATTTTTATTGCAATCAATTAAGCGCCTCCTAATTACTTGAGTCCCTGGATATCAGATTCGTAATTAACGTGATTTTCGAAATATGACAACATAGCATTTTAGTTAAAAAGTTCTGGAACGGTCCCATATTTCAGAAACAGCTCAGAGAAAATTTATGAAAACTTCGACAGGAATGTTGTTGATGATGCCCGATTCAATGGTGATATCGGCAATGTTGCCAAATCGACAGTTTTTCAGATATATAGGGTAACTCAATTTTTTCAAATGGAATTCCCTATTTGTTTTCATTGCAATACATTCAGCGACGCTTCATTACTTATGTCTCCAGATATCAGATTTAAAATTGAAGTGGTTTTCGAAATATGACAACATGGCATTTTCGTTCAAAAGTCTGGGAACCTTCTAATATTTTCAATTCAATTACTAAAAAGTTGTTTTATCAAACACCATTTTGTATAACATTTCATGATATTTTCTCGAGCCCTTATGAAAATATTGGACCGTTTGCAGACATTTCAACGGAGCATGTTCTCATATTTAAAAAACCACACTTATTTAAAATTTGATATTTGAAGACATAAGTAATGAGGCGTCGCTGAATGTATTTCAATGAAAACAAATAAGGTATTCCATTTGAAAAAATTGAGTTACCCTCAATATCTGAAAAACTGTTGATTTGGCAACATTGCCGATATCACCATTGAATCGGGCATCATCAACAACCATCCTGTCGAAGTTTTCATAAATTTTCTCTGAGCTGTTTCTGAATTATGGGACCGTTCCAGAACTTTTTAACTAAAATGCTATGTTGTCATATTTCGAAAATCACGTTAATTACGAATCTGATATCCAGGGACTCAAGTAATTAGGAGGCGCTTAATTGATTGCAATAAAAATAAATGGGGTATTCCATTTGAAAAAATAAAGTTACTCCTAATATCTGAAAAACTGTAAAATTGGCAACATTGCCGATGCCACCATTGAATTGGACATCATCAATAATAACCCTGTAGAAAATTTCGTGAATTTTTCTCAAGCCGTTCCTGAAATATGAGACCGTTCCGATACTTTTGAAAGACACTGTAGAAGGAATGTATGAAAATACCTAGATTCATGAGGTAAGTACATTAAAATTCACTTCTTATAACAGCAGAGTGAAATTGAACATAATTTTAAGCCCATTATTATACAGAAGATTTACAAAACAGACTATTGAAAAAAGTCCAATATTATCAGATAAAATGCAAAAGAAAATTATCAGAGAGAAAGAGGATTTGATTGCAAAACTACGTAATTTGCGATAGAAAATAACACGTCGCCCCACCTGACGACAAGAACTTGAACACTTCTGAGCGGTTTGTTTTGATGATATGGCCAATAAGCACAAACAAAAAACAAATGTGAACCAATGAAAACGAAGTAAACATGCCGCTTTGACAGCTTCCATGAACTCCGATAGGTGGCGTACGCTTATTTTCCCTGCTATAAACATATATGTTTCTTGGGAATAATAATAAAGATAAAGATATAATATCATTGAATGGCGTTTTCGATACCGACCAAATTCAAAATTTATCAGTGAAAAGTGAATGCAGCAAAAGGTGGAAATTCGAAAAAATCTTTGTTTTATTATCCATATGTGTCTATGTTGTCATATTAAAATGTTGTTACATGAATTCTTTTTATTTTTGTAAGTATTGTTCTGCTAAAAGTGTATCACTACATAAATTGAAGTGGGTGTTTATACCTTATTTCTAATGGAATGAAACTCAATCATTCTGAATCATTAGAAATCAACAAACTCAAAAAATTTCAAATTTTACTCAACGATCAAATAGTTCACCACTGTTGAATTTGTTTTCTTATTGGGTAATAATATTTATTTGCTATCAACTCTTTCAAGTTAATCCGATATACTGTATTTTAATGTAGATATTGTGCCTAATTTCCGAAAATGGAGGTTTATCGTACCTGTCCACAGGTAACTAATCCTTCAAGTTGGGAAAGTAGGATATATAAAAGTTAAGCAAGCCAAGGTTGGTTTAGTTCATTGTACCAGTATATCAGGAGAATTTTGTGGATATCTTATCGTTTGCGCAGTTTTTACATTTGCCATGGCCGAGTCAATTCAAAAAACAAGAAAAATCAACAGTGAGCCTTTTATTACAAAATTTGAGACCAGCAGCGTGAATTTATTCTTAAATTTTATAGTCAAACGCCTCAGTGTCGATTAATTTGACGCATTATTGTAACCACCATTTTTGTAATGTGTTTTAGAAATAATTAAACATTGTTCGTTTAAATATTCCTATTAACAAATTTAAATACGGTGCTCTTGTTGGGATAGCCTTTAGATAAGAATAAAAGGAAATATCAACAACTGATGGCAGTTCTGGAATGAAAAAAAAGAGCACTTACAAGTCTAGCGCCGAAATGGAGGGCGGATCGGCGATAAATTCAAATTCAGGAGGCGGTTCTTTGGGCACGAAGGGCTGCTCTACCTGCTTCAGGATCTCCTGCTGCTTTTGCTGGGCAGCCGGGGTCACCGACAGTTTCGAGACGGCCTGGTTCAACCCGGACGGATCCTGACCTGGAATTCAACGATTTTCCATGTGAACGAGGAAAGAGTCTCAGAAAGATTGAAGGGATAGTTAGGAATGTCTTCAGTTTTATAGAAAATCGCTCTCGTAACGCTTTTTGTCAGGATACTCGAGGCAGTGACTGCCGAATATTCATATTTGGCTAAATTTCATCATACATAGAAGTATACATAATTTTTGTCGGTTACTCGACCGAAAAGATACATATAATAATGAAGATGATGGAAACACCTAATTTCGATTGACAAAGAGAAATGAAACAACTCCACCGCCCCGCGTGAGAGTCGAACTCACATCGCTGGCAGGATGGTACTATACAGTCTCCATTTTTTCCCGTTCGTCCTCTGGTATTGTATTTCCTTGATTTCGAGTGACTTTGGCATTTGGAGGGATTCAGCCGCTTTTTTTTATGAACCAAGGGAAATAAGATAGGAATTGGAGTTCTTCTTAAATTTCTGGAGGTTATATGCCTCGGGCAACACCTCTCTTGGCAATGTATTCCAGAGCCTCGCTGTTCGATGGATGAACGAGTCTTTGGAAAGAGATAATCTGCAGGTCTCCAAAGTGACCACGAAAGGCTGCGAAGCCTCAACTCGACGGGTTAATCTCGCGGGGACTGCCAAGGGAGGTACAATTGTTGATAATTCAGAAGAGCATCGTCCATGAAAATATCTATAAAATTGAGCCAGGTAGCCAACTTTTCTTCGGTGTTCCAAGAAGTGAGTGAGTTTGCCCTTTTTTGGACAGAATCCAACAGTTTCAGGGTACGTTTGGGTGCCGCACTGCAAATATGGGAACAGTATTCCAGGACAGGTCGGATCTGTGCCTTATAGATCATAAGCAGCTGACTGGAAGTGAAATAACTCCTGGCCCGAAACAGAAAACCAAGTTTTTGGGATGCATTTTCGCAATTGATCTCACGTGATTTTCCCAAGAAAGGTTATTGCTGATAGTAATACCAAGCATCGAAATGGATGTCTACAAAGGTATGGTTACTCCTGACATGCTTATGTTCGGCACAGTGACATCGGCTTTTCTAGAGAAAAGGCATGCTTGTGTTTTGTTTGCATTGAAATCTACGAAGTTATTGGATCACCATTCGAGAATTGTTGCCAAGTCCATATTTATGTTGTCAACATCCCTCCCTCTTTCGTTTCTGAATTGCCTGGCTGGTATTGGGCCCTGGAAGAGAGGGCGGTATGGAAGGTACTATCATCCGCGAAGCTGTGTACTGGACATGAAGTAGCTTCCAAGAAATCGTTGATATGGAGTAGAAATAGTGTTGCTGCTAGAATTGGTCCTTGCGGAACACCAGCATTTATGGTAAGAGAGTCAGATGAAACTCCGTCGATCACTACATGGAGAGACCTTGAGAGAAAACTAGCTAGCAGAGAACATAGCTGAAGCGGCAAGCATATTTTTCAATAGATTGCTGCCATTTATGTGAGACGTAAGCGAGCAGGTCACAAGTTGATCTTTGATGACGGAAGCCATATTGCCAATCGTTGATGATACCTGAATGTTTCAGGTATTTCATGAGCTCAATGTTGATAGCTTTCTCCATGATCTTTGAAATAATAGATAGCAGTGCGATCGGTCTGTAGTTGCTAGGTAGGGTCTTTTTGATGAGAACTCGACCCTCCTGCCGATTGATCGACGGATGTCCCGTTAGCTCGATTGGCAGAGCGTTGGGCATGTAACCCAGAGGTGAGTTCGACTCTAACGCAGGGCGGTGGGGTTTTTTCATTTCTCGTTGTCACTGGAAATTAGGGCTTTCCATCATCTTCATTATTAAATTTCATCATGACTATCTAATATATAAAATTCTACTGTCCGTGCCTGTCACGGTGGTAGGGGCCAAACTCCTAGGAAACGGATCTACCGATGCGCATGAAAATTTTTGTGAGATAAAGTTTCATGTAATATCTTAACTACAATTTTGTATTTTCCTAAACGTATTCATTTCAAAAACAGTATTAAACTAGTTTGAAATCATATACAGGGTGGCATTGAAATAAGTGAAGATATTTCAAACACTGAGAAAGTACGACGTGTACTATAAAAAAACTTTAAGGATCAAAATAAAATTTGAGGTTAGACCCCTTTTTCCACCCAAAGTTCTACACTGTAGCAAATCTGACGTCACCTCTGTTCAAATTTTCATGCGGTAGGCACAATCACGCGGAGTTCAATAGTTTAAATTGTTTTGAAGTGGCGTACTTGATTTTTTTCTCGTACTTTGTTCAATTTTTGGAATGAAATTTCTCGTTAATAAGACGAATTAGAAAAAATCTGATATCATGGGAATATTTATAGACTGTATCATATTAATGTGTTGAATATGTGCACTTATTTCAAAACCACCATGAAGGACCCCGCATGGGTGTTTACGTTGATTTTAATGGCATGGGAATTTAAGGGTTATGAATATGGAGAAGTATTCAAGTGAACAACGTTTAATGCAATGTATCATGAATGCCGAATATTCATATTTGGCTAAATTTCACCATGACAATCTAGTATACAGGGTGATTCAGGTTTTAAGGCACAGACTGAAATGGAAGATGGATCTCATCATTTTAATCAAAAAAGTTTATATAAGCATTAGTCCGATCTCGTTCAATAACGAAGCTACAGGGGGCCAAAGCTTAATTATTTTTTTCTATTAATTAATTGATTAATTGATAATATCTCGCTTACTTTTCAAGATATTATTTTGAAATTCGGTGTGGCCACCTAGAAGATCATCATTTCAAGCCTCCTAGAAGATCATCATTTCCAGTCATTTAACGATTTTCAAAACTACAGGATGATACGTTCTTGGGGAGGAGAGGCCACACAATTTGAACACTGAAAGATGCCAGAGGCGTACTACGAAAAAGTTTGGGGGGGATAAAGAAGTCTCTACCCCCAAAAATGTATCACCCTGTAGATTTTAAAAATCTTTAAATAGCTTGAAATGATGATCTTCTAGAAAGTATTGACCACACCAAATTTCAAAGCGATATCTTGAAAGGTAAGCGAGATATTTCAATTAATAGAGAAAAATAATTCAACTTTGACCCCCTGTAGCTCCGCTACTAAACGAGATCGGACTGTTTATATAAACTTTTTTGATTAAAATGATGAGATCTATCTCCCATTTCACGGTGTTAAGGACCGAATCGACCGATTCGTATGAAAAGGACTCCGCACCATTTACATTGAAATCTTGTCTACGGTGAAATTTTGAATGATAGATCAAATCATGCTGTCAAGAAAAGTCCTTTGGTTCAGGGTCCGTTATGCCCATTAAAAAAAGTTATAAGCTCTCGAAGCCAAACGAGATAACCTCTACCAGAACAGCACATCCTGTGTGTTATATGGTTTTGGGTAAAATTATATTTTTGAGTTGTCAGATAATGGTCATTCATGTTATGTCAGTAAAAGTCATTGAGCAAAAGCGTATTATTTTGTTCGAATACATTCAAGCAGATAGCTTATCAGAATAGGTTTCGTTGCTCTACAGCGTGTCTCACTTTAAACGGCCCCCCTTTATATCTCAGTTATTAGTCATGCGATTTCAACCAAATTTGGTGTGGTATGAATAACCATCAATATGATCAGTTTTACAGAGATGCACATTATTTTGGACAGTGCCGTGCGTTTTTATTGAAATAAAAAGGGGTCGATTCTTCATAAAATCATATTAGGCATTTTTTTACAGGAAATCTAACCCCATATTATTGTTCCCCATGCTTTCAAACCCCCATATGCAAAAAATCACCTGATTTCGAATTAACAGGATTGACTTCATTTTTTTCATTTTCAGTCTCGCATAAATAGTGACTTCAAATCACTACTACGAATTTTTGGAACGTTTAATGGCTCCGGTAGGTGGAAAATCATGATTTGGAAGGAAAAATGGGTTATACTTTTTTATGTTGAACTCACCGTTTCCGAGTAAATAATTATTACGTTCGCAAAGATGCTGTTTAGATGTGCCTGTTTTTCTGAAACCCTTTATAGGCATCTTATGAAAATCTACATATGTGGGTTTGAAACCATGAAGAATAATATTATGAGGTCAGTTTTCCTGTGTAAAAATGCCTAATATGATTTAATAAAAAACTGACCCCTATTCATTTCAATAAAAATGCACGGCACTGTCTAAAATGATGTTTGTCTCTGAAGAACTGGTCATATTATTGATTATTCATACCGATACAAATTTGGTAAAGATCGCACGACTGATAGCTGAGATATAAAGGGGGGCCGTTTGAAATGAGACACGCTGTATATGCGATAGCGAAGGCAATATTGATGCTATTGCACTCATCAATCTAGAATCTAGATCAAAATGTTGAGCAGCAAGCAATCGCAATACATAGTCGACGTTAATTCTATGAACCTGAATGTTGTCTTTCCCATCCATGCAAGAGTGTGCATATTTTGTGGCGCAAATAATAATTTAGTTCACCTATCATTAGTTGCTAGTCATTAGTCAATGTATCTATTGGAAATAATATTTGTATCCCTGAAAATGCCCAATCTTGTCGGGAACATGTCAACGCTGATGGTATAACATTGCGATCTTCGATTAGTGGTTTACGTTATACGGAAAGGCTACTAATAGTCCCCGATTGAGACTTGTAACGTATTTGAACAAAGTAATACGCTTTTGCTCAATGACCATTATCTGACTTCAACTCAAAAATATCATATTTGCCAAAACCATACAACACACAGGATGTGCTGTTCTGGTAGAGGTTATCTCGTTCGGCTTGACAAAAGCTCATAACTTTTTTCAACGGGCATAACCGACCTTCGACCAAAGGATATTTCTTTGTCAGCATGATTTGATCTATCCAATCCTAGATTTTCACAAAATGTCACCGTACACAAGATTTCAATGTAAATGGTGCTGTGTCCTTTTTGTGCGATAAAGTTTCATGTAATATCTAAACTATAATCATGTATTTTCCTAAACGTATATATTTCAAAAACATGT